GCTTCTTTTTTAAGTCTGGGTTTAGTTAGGACCTCTTGCTTATTCATGCAGCTTGCTGGTTGCCTTTGCTTGTCAGTGGCTTGATAGCAGCTTGGGAACAAGATGTGTTTAACAACATAGATATAGAAAGAGAGTTCAAGGCAGAAAATTTACATCATCAATGAAGGGAGTAACATAATCCGTGCTTATCTCCACATCTGCTTCCAGTACTCACACAAGATATACTACAGATAATGCCCAGCACCTTAGTTCACAGGGCAGATGTAGCTAAAGCAACTTAGTCCAATCGTTGCAGGGCAGAATTATGGACACAAATATCCCTGTCTTAAACTAGCTCTTTAGCCAATAATCCCTCCTGTCTCTTGTGTAGAGCATATGTGCCATTCTAAATCAAACAAATGAATTTGTAATTGTTAGTCTATTTGTTTTAGCAACGCTTAATTTAATGGCCTGCAGCCTTTGGTCTCATAGCTGTGGTTTCTTGCAATATCGGCTACAGAAATGACCTCTCCATTGTCCCAGTTGGTGCATACTCAGGACTAAGTATGTGAATGCAGAAACATTTATACAGCAAATGGCTAAAGCTGCTGTTAGGAAAAAAAAAAAAAAAAAAAAAAAAAAAAACAAAGCTTTAATTGCTAACTCCTTACTTCCTTACACTAAGATATTGCATCAATCCCGTCAACACACAGACAGTAATTTGTGTTACCTGTTAAACTGGTGGCTCTCATCCTATTAATCCTCTATCTCTAACAATTTGACCTTCTGTATAAGTGAGTTGGACTCTCCTAATGGTTTGCAGAGGTCCCCAGCCACTGTACCATGTCTCACCTTAGAGCTCCTCTGTGCTCAGTGCTCCAGGAGTGGCTCCCCAAGGCATTCCCAGGAGAAGCACAGAGGAAGCCCCTGACTAGCTGATATCCAGAGCAGTGATCTCAGCCCAGTGCTTCCATGGGTACTGTACTACCCTGCTCATGGAGAAGGTCCTATCACAGGGTGGGGTAGGGACCGTGGCACAAGATCCACTCCTACCGCTGCATGGAGTGTGAGGTGCCAGGCTGCACCAGCCCCACATTGCAAAGAACTGATTATCTGGGAGTTTGAGGGATGAGAGAAAAGGAGATTGTGGTTGTGTACTGCAGTCAAAACTGGACCTTGGGTGCCAGTTTTTCCTCCAAGACCTACCAAGTATAAAATGGCAGCATTTTCAGTGGAGCAAGAGCCTAAGGCAGGCCGTCTCCTGCTCCCAAGAGAACACACTGAGCAATTAGATTGCAGAATCCTGGTGGGTTTTTTTTGTTGTTGTTTTTTGGTTTTTTTTTTTTTTTTTTTTTTTTTGAGCAATTACTATGTAATTCCTCATGCCAAAGAGCTACTCTTGTTCATTTGCTGAACAGCTTCAGAAAGAAAAAATGAAAACATTTGTGCTCATACTCTCTCACCCTAGAACTTCATGGGAAAAGCAGAGGGAGGTAAATGAAGGGATTCAATTTTTTTTAGGTGGGAATTAAACCCATGTTTCCTGAGCCCCATCACTGAGCTGCTAGATGAAAGGGGACTGCCTCTTAAGCTTTCAAAGGGGCGAATGCACCTCACGGCAGGAAAGAGGTCAGCATGCTTGCTCCTGAGTGAGGGGAAGTACTTCCCAACAGCTCAGCATCAGGAATCCAAGATTCTGAGGCAGGCACAAATGCTTTCTATTTCCTATTTTAGATGGCTTTATGTATGTCTGGGGAATAGATGATCTCTGATATCAAATCTGTGCCCTGACAGCACACCTGGCAATATAGATCTCATGCATTTCTGCCAGCTTTTGGGACACACTATACAGTCTTTATTTTGGATATCTGAACCAAAAGCCTTCTTGAGCAAAAGTAATAATGATTATTAATAATAATAACAGTAATAATAATAATAAACATGTACATACCAGCCTCCTATCAGCAACTTATAGACTGGCACTTGACTTTCTCCATACATCAAGAGCCCTATGGAGAGGTTAGATATAGGACAGGTTGGATATCGGGAAAAGGTTCTTTGCCAGAGAGTGGTTAGGCACTGAACAGGCTCCTCAGAGTAGTGGGCAAGGCCCCACGCTGATGGAGTTCAAGAAGCATCTGGACAATGCTCTCAGACATAGAGTCTGAACTTCGGGTGGCCCTGTCTGGAGCCAGGAGTTGGACTGAATAACCCTTATAGGTCCCTTCCAACTTGGGATATTCTATGATTCTGAGGAGAGGAGGTTGAAAATTCCATAAGCTTGAGCCCTTCCTGTGCTTGATTCTCATTTGAGAAAATCAGTTTCAGCTCACCTTGTGACACTTCTTAGTGTCATTGTGCATGATGACAGCCTTATTCAAGTGTTCCCCACTCCCACTCTGAAATTCATAAAAATTGGGCTGGCTTGTTGAGCAAAAATGCTGTAGCTACACAGCATTCATCATTAAACCTGCTCTTTCAAACAAACATTATGAGGCATCACTTGCCTGTGTCTCTCTAATGAATACCTGGTTATAAGGTATTTTTCACTCAGATCAGTCCTCCCAGCAAAATGGAAAGAGGAATAGGAAAATATAAAATAGGAAGTTGCAGAGAGAGGGGGATTATGCACAGAAATGGTGCTGTTAAAAGCAAACATCACTGGGACTACAGCTTACCTTTATGCCAAATCAGGTTATCACCTGCATGTCATTGCTACTGCTCGTTTGGCCACACCAAGAAGTACAGAAGCTAAACATGCAGGAAACTGCTACTCCCCCTTCCTCTCCACAAAAGAAAGAGAGAGAGAAGGAGAGAGAGAAAGAGAGAAAAAGAAAGAGAGAGAAAGAGAGAGAGAAAGAAGTGAGAGGGGAGCAGTTTTCATCTGGTGTAATTCTCTCAAATGGTTTATCATGAGGTCAGCTGAAAGCCAAAGCACACACAGTGGAAGGAATGGAGCTGAAGGACTAGAGCACAAGAATGAAGGGAGCAAAGGACTGACAGAGTGGTAACCCAGCCTGGGTGAAACTTCTGGGAAGCTGCAGCCAGAGAAACATCTGTCCCTGGAACTGACAGCTGTGAAATGTTTGTAACTCCCCACTGCATGACTTCTATCTCTGCTTTTTACCCATTTATTTATTGACATAATGGAGCCCTGATGCCCAATTTTTGCTTCTGAAATGCAATTCTTAAAAGCAGGAGCAGCACATATCAGGGAGCAGTCACTCTGTGGTGCATTCACACCCTGTGTGGAAGCTGTTGTTTCTTGCAGTGATTGCTCCTGAGAGAGGGCCTTGAGCTATACTGAGTGGTTTTGCGTCTTACGATCTAAGGAATTTTTGTTTGGATTGGGTTGGATTTGTTGTTGTTTTTTCTTATTCTTGATTTTAGTTTGCGAGTTGCGAGTCTTTTTTTTTTTTTTCCCCAACAGTAACAAGGCTTGTTACTGATGCCTAGTTAATTGGTTTGGTTGGAAGATATATACATTTTTATTAGATATGAGAAACACAAACTGCATGGGACTTTCAAAACATACAAGCTTTGTTAAGTTTCCAGCTTCACAGCACACCGGACGTTCAAACAGTCTGGATTCTATTTAACAAACATTGTAGAACGTATTCAGTTAATAAAAGCTTGGCAAATATTAGTAAAAGGCTTGTAATGGCTGGGAGTGATGTAAAGGTTAAAAGCTTTGATAGCATCGTACCAAGTCCAAATGAAGCTTGAAGGAACCAAAATGATGGGCCAATGAGAAATCTCAGTGCTGATGAGGAAATGACGAAATATTCATTTATTGGAATCAGGAAAAGATGCAACTATTCTATAAATCTGCATTTAACTTCAGAATTTGAATTTTTTTTATATTTTTCAGCTCATGCAGTCCAGTTCTCTCACTATCAGTGTATACAAAGTAAAACAAAGAAGTAGGTTCCTCACTATTCCCAGCCTGATAGGAAAGCAAGGTGTTCCCTTCTTTATGCATATGTTACACTGTTTTTCCCTAATTACAAGCCAGGAGAGGGCTGCAGGGCAGACAGGCACATAGGGAACGCTATCTATTGGCAGGATCATTTTGGTGCAGCTGCTGCCCTGACTGGGCAGAGAAAAGCTTCCCATGTCCCTGAGATTCCAGCACTTCTCAGGGAAGGCCTGGACAGGAGAGGCAAAGCCAGGACCACCAGAACTCATGTGCCAGATCAGGATTCCTATAAACATTGTGTTCCTACTTCCAAAACCGCCCTGAGATTCACTTTCCTTTAAAGGCTTGTCTGGACGAGGATAAAGGTGTATTTAAAAAAAAAAAAAAGTGTCAGTGAAAAATTTTTAATTAACATGATTTCAGACCCGCAGTGTTGATGGGGTGTGTTGCATTTTAGTGCATTTGCCAGCAAACGTGTTAAAATACATTTGTGTCCCGTCTACAGGTAACAAGTTGGGACAAGTTTCTGAAAGTTTCAACATTTAACTGGAATTAAAAGTGCTGATTGCAGTACTTTTACCCTGGCTGGGGCTGGGTGTCGCAGATGGATTTTCTGGGGCTCTGAGAGCAGCTGTGAGGCACACACTCAGTATCAGCAAACATTGTGTCACAAGTGAGCAGCCGTAGCTGGGAGGCAGTAGCTCTGTGGATTTGCTGAACAGCACCACCCTGACTTTCCATCAGCCCTATCTCAGCTCTTCTCAACAGGAGAGAAGAACCAATCTTGGGCAAACCATGCTGCAAGGGGTCACATGTAGAAGCACTGCTGACAAGACGACTTTAGGGATACAGTATGCAACTGGGGATCGGAAAACAGGCTAGGGTAAGGCATGGCTTTTGGTATGGCAATGGGAGGGAAACCCAGAGCTGCTCTTTCTTGTTCACTTTTGGGCATCTCAGAGCTGTCCCTTAGTTGATGTTCTTAGAAATGTTGCCATGGCACACAAGGGATATAACTACTTGCTGACACAGCTCTTGTGGTAGAAGCCAAAATACATTTACAGTGGAATTATTTTTTCAAACATTAAATCTCTGTAAGCACCTGGTACATCATTGGTCCTGCCAGAGAAACACTGCAAGATGGTCCTGGGGGTCCCTTCCAACTGAGAATATTCTATGATTCTATGACCTTTGTGTGTGGAAGCTGCTGCAGCACAATGGTGTGTTCCACACTCATATCTCATTAGTCCTTCTGCAATACACCAATCAGAGTGGGGAGTTGTTGGCGGGTTTTGTTTTGTTTTGTTTCTTTTTTTTTCCCTTTCTTTTTTCCCTTTGGAAGGAGATGAAAAGATCAAGAACTTAAGTGAAGTGCAAGATTAAGAATGAGGAATCTCCCCTGCAGCGTATCTGTTCTTCTGGAGTCCTAAAGGTGTGGTGTGACAGTGAGCAGCCCAGCGGCTGCTGGGCCATAGGCCAGCCACAAGGTTACATCTGGTGGTGGCACCTCACATCGAGGAGTCTCTGTTAGAACAGAACTGTCCAGGTTGCGATGCACTGGGACTGACAGGCAGTGTACAGGTATTCCAGGTTTCTTTTTGTCCACTCTGGAGAACAACTCGAGGATCTGAGAATCCAGAATAATTTCAAACAAAACTTTTCCTTTTTTTTTTTTTTTTGTTTTTCCTTTATTCCAAAGTTGTAAAACATAGAAATGGTTGAAAACCACACTGAGTTAGCAAAGCATATGCCGCCAAAACTCCCACAGCCGCTCTGCGCAGTCTTTCAGTGCCACCGCTCTGAGATCCACAGCAGAAAGGGAACTCGCAGATGCCCACGCAGGTGAAATCCCGATGCAGGTAGATGAACGGATGGCTCCTGGTGCTGGCTGTGAGGTCCTGGCATAGTCTTCAAGGAGGTCTTTTCTGTGAGCTGGTATCTCGACTAGTGTGAAAAAGACAAAATAATAGTAATAAAAAAAAAAATAATAAAATCACGATCCAAATGAAGAGGGAGTAGAGCAAGCTCCAAGCTCGGAGTTCCCTCGGGAAGTGGCTCACGAAGATCTCCGCCTCTCCTCGCCCCTCCGTCGCGCAAACGCCCGCCGAGCATCCGCGGTGCCCCGGCCGCCTTCCCGGGGCGGGCGTGTCCGGGCGGGGGGGTTCCGGCCGCCGCCACGACCCCGTTCCCACCCGCCGCTGGGCCGCAGGTGACACCGCCCGCGGGAGGCGGCTCCGGACCACGGCGCGGAAAGCGCCCCGAGTCTGGGGTAGCCCCGGGGCGCGGCGGTCCCTCCACCCCTCCCGCCCCGCCCCGCGGAGGGCGCGGGCACGCGTGGGCTCCCCGCGGGGGCCGCTCGTCTCTGCTCGGCCGAGACAAAGGGAGCGGCTGGCAGCGATGGGGCCGGGCGGGGGGCGATGCGCAATGGCAGATGCTTCCTTTTGCCCGAAAAAAATTAAAAAAAAAAAAATTGACCTCAACCCTCAATATTCCCTGGACCGATTCCCTGCAAATCACTGCTGCGGGGACGCGGCGGTCACACAAAGCCCCTCGGCACCGGGCGATCAGCAGGGGGAGGGAGGTGGGCGGCGTGGCCGGGCGTCCCCGCTTCGCAGCCCTTCACTATGGGAATCGCTTCTCCCTCCGCGCTTATAAGCAGCGGGCGTGCGGGGAGCGATGAGCCGCGCGTTGGGGAAGGGCCGCTCTGACGCTCTACTGCTTTAAACGGAGGGGGCACCGGGGGTGTATGGGTGGAGGGGGGCGGGGGTCGAGAAAGCGTTTCCCAGCGCGGAGCGATGGCAGCTCCGCACCCACGAGAGGGAATCGTTGGGAGCCGCCTCGACTGCCGCCGCCCGAGGGGAGCGCCCCGGCTCCGCCACCGCGGCACCTCCCGCCGGGGGGCTGCGCGCCCGCTGCTCCTGCGCGGAAACGCGGGGCTGGAAGTGGGTCACCGCCGCGGAAAATACTTTGAAAACACAACTCGAGGATAATCAGACAGCGGGGCTTAATTAGGGCCGCGGGCTGATCGCCGCGTATTTTATTCCGAGCCCGTATCGCGCGGGGGGAGGGGGCGGCCGCTGCCCGGCCACATCTGGCCTACAGACCCACTCCCCGCGCCTCGTGATCGCGTTTGGCGAAACCCGATCTACGTGGTTCAAATACCTTCCAAATTGGGGGCGATTTAACAATCGCGACCAATTAAACCTAGGGAAGAAAAGGAGGAGGAAAAAAAAAATAATAATAATAAAATAAAGAAAATCCCCTCCTTCCCGCTCCCCCCCGCCCCGTGCTCGCGCACTATCTGTTGCTCTCACGGCGGCAGCGGGTGGGGGCGGGCGGGCGGACGGGCTCACACTCGTGCTCCCGCTCGGGCTCCTCGCACGCCCCGCGCACCATTGTCCCTGCCCGCCCGCCCCGCTTTATTTGGGTGTTTTGTTCGCTCCTCGGCGCGGAGCTCCGCGCGCCCGCCCGCGCCGGAGCGGCACATTCATTATCGGCCGGGGGCTGATTTCAAACCGCTGCCATCGCGGCTCCATTGTTCGCAGGGCGGCCAGGCCCCGCCCCCCTTTGTGTGGCGCGGCGGCGATTGGCCGGCGCCGGGCGGAGGGCTGCCGTCACCGCTCGGGAAGCCCATTCATCTGTGCACTTGGGCGTTGGACTCCGCATCTTATTAGCAACCAGGGAGATTTCTCCATTTTCTCCTTGTCTACAGTACGGCTACAAATCTGGGATTTTTTATTACTTCTTTTTACTAAACTTGGGCTCCTTTTTTTTTTTTTTTTTTTTGCTCGACTTTTTCCTCCCTTTTTTTTCCCTCCCTCCTGTGCTGCTGCTGCTGCTGCTTTTTTTGATCTCTTCAACTTTAAATTTTTTTAAAAGGAGTGCATTATAATCGGTTCTGTTCTCTCTTCTCTTTTTTTTTCCCCCTCTGGTGTGTGTGTGTGTCGCTGCCGCTGCCGGTCGCCCGCTATTTATACCGACTCGACGCTCTTTGTTTCCCCTCCTTTTGGATCTGTTGAGTTTCTTTGTTGAATAAGCCAGCATGGGTGCCCAGTTCTCCAAGACCGCTGCGAAGGGCGAAGCCGCCGCCGAGAAGCCAGGGGAAGCGGTGGCCGCGTCTCCCTCCAAGGCGAATGGACAGGTAAAAAAAAAAAAAAAAAAAAAAAAAAAAAAAGATTCCAAAAAATTAAACCTACTCCTTTTTTTAAGCCGACTTCGACGGACTCTCTTTTGCATCCTGTCTAATTCCTCTTCCTTTGATACCCCGGTGGCACGTTCAATGGAGAATACGGGCAATCCTTTTATCTTTGCGACTCAAGGCAAAGGGATCCTTTCTTTATATTTTAAACACGGGTTTGGCTTTGAATGGTTCTTTCTCTGAATGGTTATCTTTCCTGCGTCGCGGGGGAGGGGGACTATTTTTTAATATATTTTTTTTGTAAAGAGAGACAAATCCCTCGTGTATTGCGAGCGTCCCGATGGCTTCTAAACGGAAGGACCTTATATCGCTCGGCTTTTCCGCCCGCTTCACCTCCTTCCGACGGCGCCGGGCGAGGAGCGCGAAGCCTCTGGGGGTGGAGGCGCGATGCCGTCGGGGCTGGGGGCTCGGCAGCTCCCGGCGGCCGGGTCCCCCGCCACCCCCTCCCCGCCGCACGCCGCCCGGCTGTCGGGCTGCCCCCCGCCGCCCCCGCAGCTGCCGCCCGGGGCAGCCAGCCGCGCTGGCGGGCGCCTGCAACATGCAAATAGAGCGGGGGGCGGGGGCGGCCGGGAGGATGGCGGTGGGGGCACCGGCAGCCGGGCGCGGGGCCGGGGCCGGGCGAGCTTTGTTCGCCTCGCCTCGCCATCCCCCGCCCCGCGCCGCGGCGGCGGCGGCGGCGGCGGCCGGACGGGGCGCGCCGGGGGCGGGGGTGCGCGCCGCTGCCGCCGCCGCAGCGTGGAACTATGGCGCCCCCTCGCGGCCGTCCCGCGGAGCAACCCGCCGCTGGGGGGAGCAGCGCCCGGCGCGGGGCGGCGGAGGGCGCGGGGAGGGAGGCCGGGCGCTCGGGCCCGCGCCCCGCGGCAGCCGCCCCCTCGGCGCCCCCGGTAACGCGGTCGCTGTCTTGCAGGAAAACGGCCACGTGAAGGTGAACGGCGACGCCTCCCCCGCGGCGGCGGAGGCGGGCAAGGAGGAGGTGCAGGCCAACGGCAGCGCGCCCGCCGAGGAGACGGGCAAGGAGGAGGCGGCCTCGTCGGAGCCCGCCTCCGAGAAGGAGGCGGCCGAGGCGGAAAGCACCGAGCCGGCCTCCCCGGCGGAGGGAGAGGCCTCCCCCAAGACTGAGGAGGGCGCGACCCCCTCGTCCAGCAGCGAGACCCCGAAAAAAAAAAAGAAGCGCTTTTCCTTCAAGAAGTCCTTTAAGCTGAGCGGCTTCTCCTTCAAAAAGAACAAAAAGGAGGCCGGCGAGGGGGCGGAGAGCGAGGGCGGCGCCGCCGCCGCGGCCGAGGGCGGGAAGGAGGAGGCGGCGGCCGCGGCCCCCGAGGCGGCGGGCGGCGAGGAGGGCAAGGCCGCGGCCGAGGAGGCCAGCGCGGCCGCCGCCGGCAGCGCCGAGGCGGCGAAGGAGGAGGCGGGGGACTCGCAGGAGGCCAAATCGGACGAGGCCGCCCCCGAGAAGGCGGCGGGAGAAGAGGCCCCGGCGGCCGAGGAGCAGCAGCAGCAGCAGCAGCAGGAGAAGGCGGCGGAGGAGGCCGGCGCCGCCGCCACGAGCGAGGCGGGCAGCGGCGAGCAGGAGGCGGCCCCCGCGGAGGAGCCGGCGGCGGCGGCGCGGCAGGAGGCCCCGTCCGAGAGCAGTCCGGAGGGCCCCGCCGAACCGGCGGAGTAAGAACCGCCGCCGCCCCGCGCCGACGAACTTTTCTCCCCCTGTTTGTTTGTTGGAGTGGTGCCAGGTACTGGTTTCGGAGAACTTGTCTACAACCAGGGATTGATTTAAAAGATGTCTCGTTTCTTTTTTTTCTCTCCCCGCAGATTTCCCATCTCAAATCATTCTGTTACCACCATTCCAACGGGCGAAGGAGGGCCTCGCCGCCTCCCTCCGCCTCCTTCCTTCTCTCCTTTTTTTTTTTTTTTTTTTTTTGCATCAGTATTAAATGTTTTTTCGGTTTTTTGTTTTTTGTTTTTTTTTTTGCATACTTTGCATCTTTATTCGAAATGTAAACTTTCTTTGTCAGTCTGTGGACGCGCCCATATATGAAGGAGATGGGTGGGTCGATAAGGGATCTCGATGAAGTGATAGGGGCCACAGTGGGGGATCCGTGGCGCATCCATTGCCAAGAACGTGCCACGAGACACGATGTGAGGGGTTAGTCTTTTTTTAAAAGAAAGTTATTACGATGTATTTTGTGAGGCAGATGTTCTATAAGGTTTACAACACTACAAGTCTTGATTAAGAAGGAAAGGAAAAAAAAAAAATCAATACCCAGATAAAGAGATCATAGTCTTAGGAATTCATTTAAACCATAGGAACTTTTCACTTATCTCATGTTAGCTGTATCAGTCAGTGATTAAGTAGAAATACAAGTTGTATAGGCTTTATTGTTTATTGCTGGTTTATGACCTTAATAAAGTGTAATTATGTATTACCAGCAGGGTGTTTTTAACTGTGACTATTGTATAAAAACAAATCTTGATATCCAGAAGCACATGAAGTTTGCAACTCTTTCCACCCTGCCCATTTTTTGTAAAACTGCAGTCATCTTGGACCTTTTAAACACAAATTTTAAACTCAACCAAGCTGTGATAAGTGGAATGGTTACTGTTTATACTGTGGTATGTTTTTGATTACAGCAGACGACGCTTTCTTTTCCAGTTGTCTTTGAAAATAAAGGAAAACTCTTCAGATGCAATGGTTTTTTTTTGTGTAGCATCTTGTCTATCATGTTTTTGTAAATACTGGAGAAGCTTTGACCAATTTGACTTAGAGATGGAATGTAACTTTGCTTACAAAAATTGCTATTAAACTCCTGCTTAAGGTGTTCTAATTTTCTGTGAGCACACTAAAAGCGAAAAATAAATGTGAATAAAATGTATAATTTGGTCGTGTTTCTTTCATGGATACTCTGGTAGCTTAAATGGGCTGGTATTGCCTAAATTTGTAGAGAGAAAGAGATGCTGCTTGCTGTTGGCGCGAGCTTTGAAAGCTGCCTTCCTAATCCCAGGCTCTGTAAGGCTGTGCTTATAGCAGTGGGCTGGGTAAACTGCAGCTTTCCTGGATTTAAAAGGAGGACTGGAAGGCAGGCTGAGCACGCACTGCGTGTGATGTTGCTGTCCAGGCTCCATCTTGCTTTAAGACCAGAGGTATCCAGCACGTGAGATTCTGGCCTCTTGAGGAAAACGAGATGTAATTGGAATTGCTTAGTGTGGGGCGCTGATTTATTTTTGTGTGTTGAGTTGCCTGAAAATTAAGCTCTTGGACAGATGTCCCTGTTTATGTCTTAGTATGCTGTCCCTACTTAGGTACCTAGACGATTAGCTCAAAAACTTTAGCCTGGAGGGAGAAAGGGGGTATTAACACTGCCATTCTGCTCAAGGTAATTGAAAGCAATATTTTCTCTTTTTTTCCTCAAGTGCTACTCCCAACTGCAGGTGAGTTACAAAACAAATTCCAAAATTTGTCTATAAAAATAATCACTTGGTGCTTGCCTTTAATTGTTAGGCTTTTTTGGCTAATATCCAGCATTTTGCTCAGGGCATATTATGCCTTAATAAAACAGTGGGCTCATGTAAGAAAAGCAGTAGTGATATTTGGAGGGTGGAAATTGATTCAAGAAAGTGTTGCTTCTAAGTTTATAAGAGAAAGTTTAGTGTTACACTTATTTGCTTCCACCTAAATTTTCAGCGGAAACTCTTTGGAAGCAATTATGATTCATTTTATGAGAAAATGGCACGTTAGCACCTTGTTCCCTAAAGAACAAAGCCTAAACTGAATGAAGTATAGTAGATTTCCTGCTGAATGCGTACTTTTTTTTTCTTTTTCTTTTCTTTTTTCTTTTTTTCTCTCTCTTTTTTTTTTTTGTTTTTTTAATTCAGCTGTCTACCATTTTAACTTTGGCTTGTATGTACTCTAGTTGCCCTGGTATTTCTCTATAGCTTTAGAAATGTATTGAAACTATGCTATAATTGCTGAGGGACAAAAATAAATGGATGTAAAACAAGATCCTCCACACCAGTGTCATTCTTGGAGTACATGTGTTTGAAGTCTAGTGCATAACTGCTTTGCTAAGGGGTTTTTATAACATGGCTGTAAAAACCTGTTCTAAGACGCATGATGTCTTGGCCATAGAGTCAATGTCTCTTTTTAATAAATATATATATTTAAATCCAAGGATTCTTAAAGCGAAGTCTGAATTTCTTTTTTCTTTTTTTTTTTTTCTTTTTTTTTGGTCAAAATAAATGTGTAGAAATGAAGAAAGTAATTGCCAGTAAAGTTCTTTTCCAGATTTTTTCTGAACTTGCTCTGCTGAAACCTCTGTGTTGGTTCCTCCCCTGGTTGGTACTGTGTCCTAAAGCACTTCCAGTTCCTGGAGGTGCAGGATCATTTCTACTGCAGCAGCCAGGCTCCTTGGCTGGGACTTTGTAATTCCTTAAAATGGCTTGACCTGCAATCACTTTCCAGATCTAATACCCATACAGTTTCAAAAATAAGTCCTAAGAAGATCAGTTCCGTGGTCTGCTGTTCTGCTCAGCATGTTAGGATGGAATTCCAACTATGCCACATTTCAGCCATGCCATTTAAGAAGATGGGAATCGGTATGGGTCTGGAATAGCGGGAATGGAGGAGCTTTGTGCTGCCTCCTCTGGGAGGAGAATTGTGCCACAGCATCCACATCCCTGAGGGACTGTCTGGTCACTCCCATAGAATGCAGAGAATATCCTCATTATTTGTGAGGAAAATAAACAGGCTGGATGTTCATTGATGAGAGACATGGTTAATCTTACCAAGAAAGTTTTATGCCTTTTTTTTTACTACATTACATGCTGTTATGCCTGGGTGAAAATACTAAGCATAGTATTATTTCAACAAATTCAGAATTCACATGCATATGACTTTAAAATGTGTGATTTCAAGCTGATTTGCCTGTCTTGTAAGCTGTCAGGGTTCTTTTTAAGCAGAATGTTACGCTTTCTGTGAACAAGGTAGCTTCTGTTGTGTTGGAACAATGACATAATTTTAGGTAAAACATTGAAATCTCATTTTACTTGAATAGGGACTCTAGAGATTTTCTCAATTTTATGTTTATTTCCTTAGACAGAGGCACCTATCTTCCTTGTTCAAGGTCAAAACTTGGTTGTACAAAAATTCTTTCAGACTCCATGCCTATTTTACTAAAATCTACACTTGATTTCAGACTCTCCAAATTGCAGTGCCTGACCTCAAGTACTTGAGTTCTGTATCTGGTCCTGGGAGTGATGAAAGAGAAACTGTAGAAACGTTGCTTTCAGGCAAAGAAACAAGGCAAGGAAATGGACTATGATTATGGAACATTAGATGAGGGTCAAAAGTTTCCACCTACTTGCTTTGTTTTTATTCTCTGGGTTGCAAGGCCTTTTGTGTGTTTTGTTTTGTTTTGTTTTGTTTTTTTTTAAACAAAACCTAGCATAATACACGTGCCAGTCAGAAACCAATTAATGGTTATCTATGAAATGAGTCCTGTGAATTTATTATTTATACTATTTGTATAGTAAAAGAGAAGTATAAGGTCATCATTTGTGGCACCTAACTAATTTCAGTGTTCATTAGGTTTTGGTTTTAAGAGGTGCTCTCCACGATGATGTGGCATGTCTGCTGGCAGCCTGCTTCCAGGCCTTGACAGCTGTTATACCATGCTCAGGTCACTAGCCTGGAATGAAGCAGGTAGTTTCCTTCCTGAAGTAAACAGCAAGTGCAAATAGTAAATTGTGGTTTTAACATACTGTTGGCAAAGAGGATAATTTGTCCTCGATGGAGAGGACCTCAGCTAATTGATGATGAATGGGAACTGTTGCAATTGCAACTAAATCTGACTGGCCCGAGAAAAGCAGACCTGGTGGTACTTGAATAAAGGAAAGGAGGAGGTGCTGTTGTAGTGAAGTACACATTTATGGAAAGTCCCTGTTAGCTTGGGGGTGGTGTGCTTCTAAGGCCTGCTGCCAGCCTCCCTGCTAAGGCAGGTTCACTACAGCTGATCACACACGAAAGCCTCCAGGCAGGTTTTTAATATCTCCAGAGGAGACTCCCCAACCTCTCTGGGCAGCCTGTTCCAGTGCTCTGAAGCGTGGAAGCACAAGACTGCTTTTGAACACCTCTATCTTCCGATATGGATGTTATCTGACAGGAGTGATGTAAAGCTTCAGTTAATATCTGCAGAATGTTTTGAAGTCTTGAAAGGAGGACCACAAGTACTATTTATACGTCTTCACCCCTAGTCTTTGTTACAGGATGACATGTCTGTCCAGAGCAGAACTACAAAGATCCAGATGAAAGAGGACATTGCTGCTTACAGTTAGAAAGACCCAAATAAGATATGAGGAATATGAGCTCTCAAAGCTGTGATGGATTTAGATAAAGAAGCAAATTCATTAGTCAGTAAAAAGAGGTGTGTCTTTGTGGGTTCTGGAGTTTTTGTTTGTTTTTGTTTTGTTCTTTTGTTTTTGAAGTATAGAATCAGTGGGCAATTTTCCTAAGAGAAAACTGAAGAACTGAAGAGTGTTAAAATATCCAACGCAATTCCCATTCCACAGCTGCAAGAACAGGGAACAGTTACTTGTGTTATCTGTCTTGTTACCATCAAGTAGGTAAGTGTTCCAGGACTTGGGATTCTTAGGTTAGTTCTTGTGTTTGTATATGTGATAACCTATGCTAGAAGAGAGCTTGAAAGATAGTATTCTCAGTCAATCAGTGCTGCTTTCTGAAGTTCTTTCCAGTAGCACAGCTCATACTGTTGGTAATGAGGAAGGGATTCTATCCAGATACACCTGGAAAGCTTGAAAAGTGAGTCCATGAGAACTTCGTAAGGTTCAGTAAGACCAACTGCAAGGTGTTGCACTTGGATTGGGGCAATCCCAGATGTGAGTACAGGCTGGGAGAAAAAACCTATTGAGAGCAGCCCTGCAGAGAGGGACTTGGGGACTTGGGGATCTTGTTGTGCAAAAAGCAGGACATGAGCCAGCAGTATGCTTTTGCAGCCTGGAAGGCCAACAGTATCCTGGGCTGCATCAAAAGAGGAGTGGCCAGCAGGGAGAATGAGGTGATTGTCCCTCTCTCCTTTGCCCTTGTGAGCCCCTGTGAGGTACTGTATCCAGGTCTGGGGCTCCAAAAACAGGAAAGATGATGAGCTTTTTGAGAGGGTCCAGAGCAGGGCCACAAGGATGGTCAGAGCGCTGGAGCACCTCTCCTATGAAGACAGGCTGAGTAGATGGGCTTGTTCAGCTTGGAGAAGAAAAAGTTCTGTGGACACTTCATTGTGACCTTTCACTACTTAAGGGGAGCTTATCAGCAGGAGGGAGACTGACTTTTTACATGGTCAGTGATAGGACAAGGGATATTTGCTTTAAACAAAAGAGAGGAGACTTAGGTTTGATGTTAGGAAGAAAGTCTTTACTCAGAGGGCGGTGAGGCACTGGCACTGGCTGCCCAGTGAAGCCATGAATGCCCCATCTCTGGAGGTGCTCAAGGCCAGGCTGGGTTTGGCCTGGGATGCCCTGCCCACCCCAGGAGCTTGGGACTGGATGGGCTTTAAAGTCTCTTCGCACCCAAGCCATTCTATGACTCTATGAAAGTATCTCTTAGCAGACACCAGTGTAACCAGATATTAATTTTTAGGTAAAGTGCACACAGAAGTTGTTCAAACTAGACTGTCTCCTGAATTTCACAGCTTAGTTTCCAAAAGAGACAGAGAGAAAATAAGGTAAATAAGGTAGCTATGGATCTCTTGGGTAGGGAAATCATACTTCCTAAGTAGCTGCAATAGCTGCAAGAAGTGACTTGCTAGCCCTGTCTGAATTAGTTCTCTTTCTGGAAGTTGGTGTGTAGACCCACCTAAATCTTTTA